GGGAAGGCCGCCGTCCCGCCCCTCTGAAGCATCGGCAGCGGGCTTTGCTTGTGGGAATAGGCATACGCTTGTCTGTAAATAACCGTGTGTATGTACGGATGTACGGTTCACGGCCGGGTACCGCATCGGCACCCGTGGGATGTCCCGGTGCAAACTCTGGTTGGCGTCTCCTCATTCAACCTGTTGCGGTGCAGAGCGTGTCAAACGCGCAGTCGGCTTACGTGCTTGAAGGTGTCTGGATTTGTTTGCATGGCTCTTAAATGGGGGTGATGGCACTTGGCTGCTTTACAGGGCAGTGGTAAATCCTTAGTTGCATAACGGTAGAAAAAAAGTGTTTGGTTTTTTCCCCCGGTGTGGTAAGTGCTCATGAATAGAAGTACTCTTAGCGTACAAGTACTCTTAGGAACAAGAGGTGTAAATCTGTTTAAAGAAGCAGGATTTATAACAGAGTACTGTCAAAGCACCATTTTGGCTTAAAATGTCACATGCTATGAGTTTATTTTTTGTTTTTTTTTTTAAACTTAATTAAAGATGGATAAAATACAGGTAAAACAAAACCTGTGGATTCCAGCAGAAGCACTTTGTCCCCTGATACCTGATCTGGCACACAGCCTGTGGGATGAGTGGCTAGTGCAGTCTGAGGGTCGGTGACCTGAGTTGGCTGTGCCATCGCTGGTGCTGGACAGTCCGACGGGCAGTCTCACAGGGAGCATGGGGCAGGGTGCTGTTACGAATCCAGGCTGTTCTTTGTGCCAAGAACAAAATGCATTTTTGCAGACCTTAGAATATTTTGAAAGTATTCAGTATGGAGTTTTTACGGATGCAGCAACAAGTTTTTGAAATGCCCGTGAGGCATTTCCTTCGAAACAGGTACAAGGAGTTGCTGTATAGGTCTCTGCCAGATAACATAGTCTCAATGCGATTCCTGGTTTGAGAAAATTCCTTACTGTACAATGTGTGTGCCTTGACCAGGCTGTGTCCTGCCTGCGGGCGCTTGGCATAAAGAGCAGGTGAAATGTCTTACTGTGATTCTTCATCTGTTTTGCACCTGTGCTCTAAGTGATAAATGCGCAGGTGGGACTAAATTTAGAGGAGGGAGAGGAGAAGGAAGTAAGATGACAGACCAAAGGTTTTTAAAATTACTTTCCACTTTGGACATTCAGCATTTGCAAAAAAGGTATTCTGACAATTGCAAAGAAATACTGTAACAGACTGTTCCCAAATAATAGTATTGCCAAGTTGGGCTTCAGTCTGAGGCTGTTTTATTTTGAGACTCTTTAGTAGAAATATTGTACATACAATGGGCTGAAAATATATATATATGGAACAGTATATTTTGGGAAGGGTAGCATCCTTTATTAGGGCAACTAGTATTCTTAGGAAAAGCTACAGGAAGCTTTCAGACTTGGTCCTACGCGTTTGCATTTTTCTTCTTCTCCGATACTGGCTTAAAGGGGAGCATAGTTGATGTTGTGTGAGTAGTAAGAAAATATATTTATTGCCAGTACAATACAGTAAATTATTGCATGTGGACTTTTAAAATGTTGATACATAAAGCAAAGCATTAATTTACCATATAGATAAGTACTTTGATTTTTACACATACCGATCAGTTACTGTGCAGGATCCAGTCTTTGCTGGAAGGCATGCAGTAATATGTTCAACTTACTTTTAGCCTTTTGTATTTGGGAAATGTGGGAATTCTTACAGGAAATAAATCTCATTAGTTCATCAAATATGTCATCTCACTGCTAGAAGTAGCTATGAAGATACGCTGGAAATTTGCTGCAAAGGGAGATGATGTTGAGTCGGGGACGTACAATGCTGAAGCCGGGTTTCCGGACATTGCTATGGCTCAGGTTCTTGCCTCATTCAGTACTCTGCTGTTTGTGGTGGGAAATGCCAGCAGTGGTGTGCTGTTCTGGGATCACCTGGCTGTGCCAGGCTGCCCTGAGTGGTTGTCATCTTTCTCATCATACAGCTCCTCCGTAATCATCTCCTCCCACCCCCTTTTTTGTTACTCTGCCAGGAAAACTACTATTAGTTTTATGTTCTTGAGTCTGTCTAATGTGTATTTTCTCTTCCTGTTAAGCCTTATCAATGGTATAATTTTTTTAACTGACTTCTCATGCAGCTTTCCTATTAGGGATTTATATTTGAAAATCTTTCTGGTGTTGGTGGTACCTCCTTACTCTCCCTTTCAAGTCTGTCTGTTTTCCTCTATAGCTTTATTTTTGCTGTCATTTCTTTCTGGCTCTCCGTTTTGTCTCTCTACTGTTTCTTCTCTGCCTCATCAGTACCCTCTGATCACTAGCATTCTTTCCCGTTTCTTTGGCACTTGTTTCTCTGATGCCCCTCTCTTTTCCTAACCTTTTTCCTCTCAAGTGGACGGTGGCAACAGGTAAAGGAAAACCTGAGTTATAAATGACTGGTGTGGTCCTCTCTTGCAGAAAGTCAGCTGCCGGGGAACTCCTTGGGTACCCGTCAGCTTGGCACTCTGGCCATCTGCAGAAAAGCCCTTTGTTTAAATAGAGCAGTTTGTAAGTGTGGTACATCCGGAGGGCTGGTGGGAGTCACTACCAGCAAATGCACCTAGGCACAGGAGTGCTACCGTGCCTGAGCTGCTGCCTTGTCCCCTTTTCTCATTGTCAGACAGCTCTTTCTTTGTTTTCTTTCCCCCTCCCCCCCCCCGGAAGAACCCTAGAAGAACCCTAGTTCTGAGAAGTAGAGAAATTAGTGCTCGAAGCGTCAGTGTGGCATGTTGCTACGGCATTACATGTTCACATCCTTAGCATCTTTGTTGTAAGTACGTCATTCGATACGAATCTGCGCGATGCTGAACTCTGACCGGGTGAGTGCTGCTCTGTGGAAGTCCCTGTGAAATCTTGTGGTATGCCTGGCAGGTCACGTTGGCATGGCAGATGGCAATAAATCTTGGACAATGTGAGAAGACTTTAAAAAAAAAAAAATTAACAAAGAAAATGTATACCTCGAGTAACTCACGGTGTTTTTCTTAGTTAAGTAAAAGGTTTTATAAGATGGTTTTGAGAAAAGATGTATAGTGGCTGCAGAGAATTTGGTTTAGAAATCTAGTTAAAGGACAATTAGGAGAGATTCTTGTGGTAGTTGCTATTCTTATGAATTAATTATACAAAATAGCATTTGATTAGCATATCCTCGTTTTTACTTTTAAAGGAAGTTCTTATTTTAGAAGGCGAATGACTGTCTCCTTATGTTTCAGACCAAAATCTCATACTGTAAACAAATTTCCATTATCCGTGCCCTTTTTTGCTCCCCCGCTTCTGCCTCTAGTACTAAGGACGGCTTGTTCAAAATTTACGGTCTGTTTTATGTCATGGCACTGAGAGTTTTGGCTGTTTTACACTCACCCCATTCACCTTGGTTTATTCGTAATTGTGTCGTTAGTGAAATTTGGAATGGAAGTTGACGTCCTGTGTGCTGGAGGATTGGAATCGCATGATTCACACAGCTCAAAAACAGGACAATGCGTCTTACGTGGTCGATATTGCCACATCTGATGTGTGCTGTACAGTGACTTCAGTGAAGTGCCCCTTTGGACACACCCTGGGGACTTCTGCTGAGTCTTTTTTCCTTGAAGAGGTACATTTCAGACAAACAAGAAACAGAACGCACTTTCTTAGAGTTTTGTTGTTTAAAGCAAAACAAAATATGTGTCTTTTTTTTGTTGTTGTTGATCAACAACGCTTGATTTATGCCCTGAAAAACATAGAAAGAACACAGTCTTTTTTGGAAAGGCTTTTAGAAACCCTCTAGAGGTGTTTTTCTCGAAGAGGCTACAATGCCGGCGAAGGGGGAAAGCCAGGGGAATGGAAAGGGAATGCTTATCCATACATTTTAGAAAATGCCTAGTAGCACAGCTGGTTCCCTTCACAGTTTCCCTCACTGAGGAATGGTTGGCATTTATGTATTTCCATAATTTCTCAAGCAGCTTTGTTTCATGGTGAGCATAAACCAGGGCGTCTAAGGAATCCTGAGCCATTCTTGTCCACTTGTTAATGAGGTGACAAGGCTCCAGCCTGTCCCTCGGAAAGGATTCAGCAGTGTGAGCTTTTGTCAACCCTGCAGATGGCTGAAGTACCTTCTTTCTGCTCAGTACCTGGCTACTCTTCCACAAATACCTGAAGAAAATGTGCAGTAGGGTAATACTAGTCCAGGAAAATTTGGTTTTAAAAAAGTTCCTTTCATAAGTAGTTGCTAATGTTATGATTTTTACTTGTATCGTACACAACATTGAAATGGTTATGCTGTAAACGTTTTGAAATACACAGACTTTTAGAGCGTACCAGCTTAGTCAAGAAGATA